CGGCCATGCTGAGGCCGCGTCCCACATACAGCAACTAGAAGGATGTGCAGCTATGACATGCAACTATCTACTGGGGCTTTGGGGGAAAAAAAAAATAAAAAAATTATAAAAAAAAAAATGATTATTACTGAAATTGAGGGTGTTTTCCTGAATTCGAGGGGCATTTGCGTTTCTCCTTTTATAAATGCCCTGTCTGTGTTCTATTGCTGTAGCTTTTAGGACATTGCCCTTTTTCTGATGAAATGACTTGGTGAAAACCATTTCATATAAGGCAAGTAGCACCCTTTTCCCCATCATTGGTTTGCCTTTTAAATTTTGTCTTTTTTGTATGTGTGAGAAAGATCAGCCCTGAGCTAACATCCATGACAATCTTCCTCTTTTTGCCGAGGAAGACTGGCCCTGGGCTAACATCCATGCCTATCTTCCTTCACTTTATATGGGATGCCGCCACAGCATGGCTTGACAAGCGGTGCGTCAGCCCGGGATCCGAACTGGTAAACCCCTGGCCGCTGCAGCAGAGTGTGTGCACTTAACTGCTTGCGCCACTGGGCCAGCCCCTTGTCTGTCTTTTTGATACAGAATTTTAAGTGTTTATGAATCTATTGATATGTTCCTGTATATTTTCTTTTGTTTTTATAGTTAGAAATTTCTCTTTTAAAAACCGTATAAATATGTGAATATATTTTCTTCATCTTTGCATTTTTTGAAATGTCATAATTATCACTTATTAAATTGTTATATGATCTGAGGACCATTTTTATATTTTCTGTCATGTTCCATTTGTCTCCTTGATGCTTCTTTTACCAGTACTATGTTCATTCATTTAATGAATTTTTTAATATGCTATATAATATGTAGCCCATTCACCTTGATAGTCTTCTACTTAAAAATTCATTATTCTCAATTATATTTTCTATATAAACTTAAAAACATTTTGCCAAGTTCCAAAAAAAGTGCTTTGGAATTTTTTATTTTGGCAGCATTAAAACTAAAAAATTATTTAGGGAGAATTGATTATCAGGAATATTGTATTACTCTTTCTCAAATTTTATATTTTTCTTTGAATTATTTTGTAATGTTTTTCATGTAGTATGCACACAGACATGTATGATTTTTCCTATACACTTAGTATTTTATGTCTGACCAATTAACATTCTTATTAAAATATGAAAGTAACCAATTTCTTTAAGAAATTATTCAAAAATTTTCAACAATTATATAGGTTATTTTTGTACCATTTCCCTTTTGGAATCCTATTGTGAAAAATATATTATTGTATTAATTGCTTTTCCTTTTTGAGCTTTTACCTTTCTTTTAAAAATCGAAGAAAAACTAAATTTTTTTCATCTTATTTTATTTTAAACAAGAAAAAGGTCATTATATATAGCTCTTTAGATGATTTAACTTCACAAAAATAATATAACTAGTAATATGAGTAAATTGATTTTATCCTCATTCTTGATAAGGTTGCAAATATTAATTTCCTTATGATATCATATAGCATTTATATCTTATGTATTTGATGAATCATATCACAAATGGTTTTAATATGTAGCCCCCAGATTCCTATATTAATTGTGGTTATTTTTGTAGACTAAAATATCTAATGTTGTTGTTCATATTTTAGGTTAGTGGGATGGTTTGGCCATGAACTCAGCACCAGATTTAAGATGGATAACAGTAAGTGTATTCAATTTTACTTCACAAGTCATTTTATTTTACCTTTATTTCAATTTTCATCTGTCTTTGTATGATACGTAATATACATGGCTCATGGAGAGTGCACTTTGAAAATGCCACTGAGAATTCTTAAAATAAGAAGTGACATTTCCAGAGTGTAAGACTAAGTGTTTGTAGATTTTAGCATGATTTTGAATCTATCCCTTTGTAGAGAGATAAGAGAAAGTGAAATCTGTTGTACAAGACTCAGATCTCATCAATATGGAGGACCCAAGGCATCAGGCAGTGAGGACAGGAAGGAATTTTGGGCTTGGAATCAGACCCAGAGAGATTTAGGTGTCAATCCCACTTTGCTGCTTAATCATTTTGTGATGCTACACAAGTTATATCATCTGGGGATTTTTTTCCTTCTTACATTTCTAATATAAATAATAATATCTATTTCAGGGTTTGATTTGAGGGTAAGACAAGTTCAAAGCTGTAAATCGAGTAGCACATAAGAGTGCTATTTAATAAATTTCATTTTTATCTCTCTCTTTACCCAAATTTTCCTCCTTTTGTCATATATCAAACCATGGTGGTTAAACCCCAGTGAGTAGAAATGAAAGTACACTGTGCGTAAGGGGCTCCCAAACTGCCCTACTTTCTCCTGAGTGACTCTATTCTTCAATCACGTGAGATACAGAAAGCTTTGTAAATGTTTTCAGAGTTCAACTTAAACTCAATCCTTTAGATTACTTCCAATCCTGAGATATTATTTTAAATATGTTCCTTTTTGCAACAACCAAGATGCCAAGGATCAAGATGGCCTCTTCCAGTCAAATACGGAAACCTGTATTTTATCTTCACTGCTGAAATAATTAGCTCCGTTATTATGCCAGTTACTTAAATTCCTTATGATGGGTTTTATTATCTGTAAATGAGAGAATCGGATTAGATCAGGTTGGGCAAAGTTTTTCTGTGAAGGCCCAGACTAGGAGATACTTTAAACTTTGGGGGCTATACTGTCTCTGAGGCAAATACTCAACTCGGCCATTGTAGTGGCAAAGCAGTCATAGACACACATAAATGAATGTGGCTATGTTCCAATAAAACTTTACTTACAAAAACAAGTGGTGGGCCAGATTTGGCCCACAAGACATAGTTTGCCTACCTCAGGATTAGATGAATCTCTAAAGACTCAGAATATTCTAACATTCTTTTAGTCAGTCTTAGTTTTAGTTTGATCTCTAACTAGCAATCTTTATTGGATTTAATTTGTTACTATTCTATCTAATTAATTGTAATTAGGATAATATCTTCTATTAATTTGCCTTTTTGATGCGTCATACTTAGGCAGATGTTTTTTAAAAAGCCTTTTTTTTTGTCTCTAAGAGAAGCCACTTGACCTAATAATCCTAGTACTAAAAGTCCCATTCACAGGTCATTTCATTCATATTCCGCCTTTGGGTGACATTACAATTACAAGCCATTCAAATCTTGATGTTTTCCTCTCATTGACCTTGTCTCATAATAGAAAAGCAAAGATGGGACAGAAGAAGGAACGCTAGCTTGGCATTGGGAGGGCCCAGAAAAGTTTCAAGGAGAGGTATTTTTATCTTGTTTCTAAGGGCTCTAGTGTTTGGTAGGCTGCTAAGAAGGTGGGAACAGGGAAGACAGAAATTGCAGGCAAAGGGGAAAGATGCCAGTATTTTAGGTCTATCAAGTTTCTCTTAAATATCTCAGAAATATTAGGAATAAAAATTTTTGTCATATTTTTTTTCTCTCCACTACTTTACTGTCATAAAAAAATCCATAAAGGATACTTTTTAAGATATATTCTGTAAAAATGACATGATATTAATTTTTCAGAACTGCAGTTAATCCCTGGGGTCAATGGATTCCGAATTTCCAATCCTCCCATTTTTCTGGTCTGTTCCTTACAGGCTAGTTTAGAGGTAAGTGATCTATGCTTCAACTTTCCCACATCTTTACCTTTTTCTTTACCTGATTGTGACATGTAGTACTTTCTCTGGTAATCAGCAAGATTATAAGTGTGCATCGTGCATGACCAATGGGCAAAGGTCAGTGTTCTCCTTTAGGACAATGACCATGTGCTAATTGTCACCTTTTATTTATTTCTCCAGCCCCTACCACAGTGCATGGCACATTGTTGTCACTGGATAAATGTTAAATGGAACTGACCTGGGGAGAGGTATTTTTAGTTCCACTTAGAATTTGCATGAACTTGAATAAGTTATTTAATCTTCTGTTGGTATCGATATATACAAAATAAGCATACAATATTTAATTCTTGATTAATTCACTCATTCAACATTTATTTATTAAGAAAGTACTGTGTGCTGGACATTATTGTGATTACCGGGAACTCTATTTCTTCTAGTTAGTTCTGTGAATCAATGAACTTACAAAATGCCGTGTGACAAAGCTATAGGAAAACTTACTTTAAGGGAAAAAAAACAAACTATGAATAGTCAGAGTAAACCAAAGATTGAGTAGGGTTGTCTCATGAGGTAGGGTGGGGTTTTTTTTTTAAGTGGGGTTTTTATGCCTTTATATCCATGTATAATCTCTATTACCGGCTCAATGTTTTTCTTTAAATTCATTCATATTTTTACTTAAGATAGTTAATATCTAACACTAAATAATAAGATCCAAATAATCAGTTTGTTTTTCTATATATCTATCTATATCTTAACTAATTATTTGGATATTAATTTCAGGGTGAGACTAAATTTATTTAAGTAAATATATATTGTTAATAATTACATAAAATTTAATAATAATACATATATTAAGGAAATATATATTTTATATACATACAAGTAAAATATATTTTAAGTAAATATACACATATAGTTCTAATAGAGATTTTAAATATATAGCTATTAAAATAAAAATTTGGTTTTTTTTAAAGCCTCCTAAAATAATCTAGTTTATAACATTTTAGGAAATCCTGTTGTGGAGCGTTCCAGTAGGAGTGACTGGATAAAGACTTCCAAAATCTCTTCTAAACCTAAAATTCTAGGATTCTGTGAACATATAGCAGTTTCTCATTTTGGCCACTGGACGGCAGCGTCAAGGTCCTCCGTTTTTACACAACTTCACCACAAGATAGTGGTAATCAACTCATTCATTTCAGTCCAATTTAAAGAGCACCTACTCAGTTTGACCACTAGATGGAGCTTGTGCTGTTTTCACTTTGGGCTGATCTTGTTTTAAGTTATGATAGACCCAGTAACAAGATTTTTCAGGCAGTGATACATTTTTTTGAAAGTTTCTTTTGTTGTTTCGAGGGGGATGGAATCTGCTTAGCAAATCGTATATTCATATTTGAATTGTTTTATAATATCCATTCAGAGGAACACTTCTGTAAAACATTTTAAAACAAAATCAAATTTTGCTCACTTTGCCAGTTTATATCAGGGAGATGAGTGATAATAGAAAGAAAGGCACCAAGGCATACCTTAGAAAGAGCTAGCACTTAAAGTTATTTCCTCTGATTTTCCTTACCTTTGCAAATGACTGCTCAGCCATATCGAGAAATTTTCTTTTAGACACTCTTCCTTTGGAATGTGCTCTGCAGTGGGTGGCTCCCCTTCCAGTATTCAGCCCTTCTGCCATGGAAAGAAGCAGATTCTTATGTTCCCTACCACGCTGTATTAGAGTCACCTAGACAAAGTTTTTATTCTCAGCTGGAATCTGAAGTCTGATTTATCTTTTCCTTTAATATCTAAACTTAAACCTACCAAAAGGATGCTAAAAGCCACAAGAAGAGGGAGATACGCTTCTCTGGAATGTCTTATCACTTAAGTGTTTCTCTGGAGCCTCTTGAAAATACCTGACTTAAGTCATTCACTGTTGAGGCTATGTTCTAACCAAAATTAACTTTAGGTAATCAAACTTTATGTTGAAGAAAATGTTTTTCGAAATTCTTCCTCCCCATTGTAAATTGCAAAAATTCTGAAGTTACAAAATAATACATTTCATTGCTTCCCATTTTCTACCTAACTGTTAAAATATTCTACTTTCTAGATGTTTCTGAGTTTGCCATGTGAATAAACATTAGTGAATTAACTGTGTTGGTGCTTACCTTATATGAAAGTTGTTACATATAGGAGATAGGTAGTTGAAGTCTATGTAAATGAAAGAAATAAATGCTTGACTCAAACTACTTTTCTCTTTCGTCTCTACTTCTCTTTCAAAAAATATTTTATATAGTCAAATGCCAACTGGAGGAGAGATTCTATACTTAAGAATCAAGGTACATGGATATGATCTCAGTTGTGCAATATAACAATTTTTTAAAAGATTAATATGGCTTTCTTTACAATTACATGTGCATTTGATTGATACTATTAAAAATAACACCTTATAATCAGTCTCAAACTGTCTTTTTCTTTATATTGTTGCCTCTTAATCACTTCTACAATAATTTTTAAAATATTGTCGATCAAGGGAAAGAGCACTAGGGTAGGAACCAGGAGGCAAATACTCCATCCCTCATGGGGATACTAAGTGTGACTTTAAATGAGTGACAACTACTCTTGAATTTATTTGCCTCAATTTTTAAATGAAGATGTTTGGACCAGATTACTTCAGAGGTCCCCTCAATCTTCCAATTACTCATTTGAAATTAAACAATACTTATATTGTATTTTTAAGGGTCATATTTATAGGTAGCAATAGGTAGACAATTTTTAGACCGTCAGTACATGAATTTATAATGAAATAAGTAACTTCAAAATACAAAATGAGAGCACTCAGTTAAAATACACAGCAAGTCAGAAGAAATGTACTAAGTATGTCCTCAGGAAGTAATTAGGGAGCCAATTTTAAGAATTTAAGAGAAAAAATATAACAGTTGAAAACATCATACTGTATTTATTTTTCCTATTTAAACTTATCTAACTTTTCTAGCTTTGCATTCATTTTACTCAGTAAGAAAAATAACCCAAGTAATTGAAACTCCACCAAAAATTCTGTTATAAATTGAATATTTTCAAACTATACTTTTCATATTTCTAATTTTAAAAATTATCTTTTTCAGTACTGAACACATAGAAATAATAAGAAGCAAAAAAGAAAAGAGGATATTTGTTGTATTTCCCTGTTAACTCCCATTAGCCCCTCAATATTTTTATGTGAGGCCTCAGAAGAGACTTCACACTCTGAGAAGAATTTAAGAATGTCTCAGAATGCAACTGCGCTTATTGTGATTGTAATGTGGGAAATAGTTTTATATTTAAACATTATTTTATTATTAACAAAGAGTAACAGTGTTAATATTGAGATGTTTGCATTAAAAAAATTTGGTTTCTAGTTATCAAAAGAAATCTGCAAGAGCAAAACCTCCTTTAAAAAAGACATAAACTTAAGTAATATTCCCCAGTCTTACTAACCTGGGAATACAAATGAAATATCATTAAAAGTACTACTTCACACATTGCTCCTATCTGCATCTCATGGGGTCCATAGCGGAAGCAGAACATTTCCCAGAATTATTTATTAATTAAATTTTTCTTGAATGATTATTGATCTCGAAAGAGAAGCTTGAAAAGATTTCCTCTCATATTCTTTTATTCCAAACCTGACAGTCAAACCAGTGGTGAGCTGCATCTTGCCTGTCCCTGCTCCTACCCTGTGTGAGAATGTTGGGTCTTGGACCGGGCTCTCGAGTCGTCATTGGGTCAGATCTACTTACATTTTGTTCTACACAAGGAAATGAAGAGAGGTCTCCTACCAAACTGCATGTAACTGGGGTTGCCTGAGTCCTCCAGCAGTGGTGTTTGCACTGCAGATCTCAGATGCTGTCTGAAACAAAACCATCAGTTGCTCCTGGCTGCTGACCCTCCTCCCAGGCTGCAGACGTAGTCTGTGAGGTCTGGTTGGGGAGAAAGACAATTATTCTGTCCTCTGTTTCTCCTCTCTTCCTTAGAAACTATTACCTTCAATACAACTCCTACCCTCTCCTTTAGCCAAATCCACAGTCTCCGTGCAATACAAGTCAAGAAAATCCATGCCCAAATGTTTTGAGCCCTATTAGCCTGCCCACATATGCCATGGGTATATACAGAAATAACTATTTTCACACAGACTTCATAAAGTCTAGATATCACCGAATGACCCTATATTTACTCTGTGGCGTAACAAGATACAGAAAAGGAGCATTAAGAGGCATGCGGGCATCACACTCTGTTTGCAGTTCATTCGGTTCTTATATGTAGGATGTATTTTTAAACTCTACTTGACCTTAAGAGATAAGCTAGAAAAGCATGTCTGTTCTGACCTCTAATGTTCTGACACTGGTTATTGTGTGCCCTTGTCACTCATCTTAATAGAAGACACCTCAGGCAGCAAATGGCAGTGGTTTCACACCAGTGCTGGAGTTTAGCGGGGGAAAAATAGATGAAAGAAGGAAGAAAGCCCAATGCTTCACTACTAATAAATGTGTTATCTAACTTTTTTGCTTCCTTATCTGACAAAACTTAGCTATTTTATTTAACTGCTTTTTTCTTACTGTTAAACTAGGGGAGATTTAGTAATTGGCAAAGCAATTAGAAATAATATTGGTAACAGTGCCTTTCACATATACAGCATGTTTTGCTTTTATTGCACTGTTTTGTGGATCAAACAAATTTTATATCACTATAGAAGAAAGACTTCTTGATTATGATTGTATAAAATAGTTTTAAGGAAAAAGTTTGAATACTATGATATTTAAATGCATTTATTAAGGTATGTTTTACTTATACCAATTATGCTAAGCTAATTTAAAATAACCGTGAAGGAACATTTTTGTTGTTGTTAGTGCCATGGAGTTGATTCCAACTCCTAGCGACCCTGTGTATAGCAGATGGGAACCCTACCTGGTCTTTTGCACCATCCTCTCACTTCCTGCACTATATCAGACAATGCTCTGCTGCTAGTCACAGGGTTTTCATGGCCAATCTTTTTGGAAATGGGTGGCCAGGTCCTTGTTCCTAGACTGTCTTACTCTGGAAGATCTGCTGAAACCCGTCCACCACGGGTGACCCTGCTGGTACCTGAAATCTCAGTGGCATAGCTTTCAGCATCACAGCAACACTCAGCCCCCACAGTATGACAACTGACAGACAGGTGGTGTGGTTCCCTGATCGGGAAATGAACCCGGGCTGGGGAGGTGAGAGTGCTGAATCTTAACCACTAGACCACCAGGGCTGGCTAAAGAAACATTATATTAAACTATTTATTTCTTCTTTTGCAAGTACTGTTTAATGACATTTGGACAGTTTTTCTGTCATGAAAACTCTGCATTCAGTCTTTAATGGCAAATCATTTAAAAGAGGACATATTTTTGCAAAAAGATTATCTAAAATGGGACATTCATTGGAAAGGTCAAAAGTAGGCATTTCCTTTTTTATGCATGACTTACAGTTAATTTTTGCTTCTTTGTAAATCAGCAAGACACTGTTAAGCTGATTGTTTCTCATTCTGCAGATCTTTAGGCAAGCAACTATGAAAGCATTGAGGAGAAAATCTATTTTGCTAACTGGTTATCTGGAATACATGATCAAGCACTACCGTAGCAACGATAGAGCAGAAACCAAGAAACCAGTTGTGAACATCATTACGCCATCCAGTATAGAGGATCGTGGCTGCCAGCTGACGCTAACATTTTCTGCTCCAATGACATATGTATTCCAAAACCTGGGAAAGAGAGGAGTGGTTGTAAGTATATCTCTTACTTTGCTACCGAGTTTTCTCTATGGGTTGCGTGTTTGGTATAAAATTTGGATTCTTTGGCTTATTCACTGTTGCGTGTTATTTCACATCAGTCAGTTAATGAGGATAAATTAAGTGCCAACTAAGTATTCAGTACTGTGCTAACTGAAGGGCATAGAGATCTGTCATTTCTGATAAAAGAGAAGAAAACACAAATTTTGGATACAGGAAACAGTGTTATGTAATTTGTTCATTCTTTTTATTACAGTTTGAACGGAAAAAATTGTTTCTTCATAATCAACGAGGACATGTTTTCACTAGTGAAAACCCCAATATATATTTATTGAATAAGTAGAATCAATATAGTGGAGGGGGGAAAAGAAGTCAGTCTTATTTAGTTGTTTGATTGAACTAAGTTATTTTCAATCTTGTTACAAGTCAAAAAAGGTGTGTAGACACGTCTTAGGAGTGTTAACATTGTATGGAATAAATTTTTTTAACGGTTGGGCCTAAATAGTCTTCTTAGTCTCTTGAAGAGAACTACTTACTAAATGCCAATGGAATAATTTCAGGAAAAAATGGTGATAATGTATTTCCAATGATGTAATTTAGGAACTGCTCTACTTCTGCGGTCCTCCAAAACTTTAGGAGAGGTTACCCCAGATTCCTGAGACACAAATCAGAATATCAGCATTCCAAATTAAGATCTACTATTTCCAAGCTATGTGCTCCTGGGAAAGTTAGTTAACATCTATTGGCTTGAGATTTCCCATCTGTATTTTGAGTGCAATAATACTTACCTCAAAAAGTTATTATGAGAATTAAATGGACCAGCACACGTAAACCATTTACTATGTTGTTTAGCCTGGAGTAGGTGTTTCTTTTTTTTTTTTTTTTAAAGATTTTATTTATTTATTTTATTCCCCCCAAAGCCCCAGTAGATAGTTGTGTGTCATAGCTGCACATCCTTCTAGTTGCTGTATGTGGGACGCGGCCTCAGCATGGCCGGAGAAGCAGCGCGTCGGTGCGAGCCCGGGATCCGAACCCGGGTCGCCAGCAGTGGAGCGCGCTCACTCAACCACCAAGCCACGGGGCCGGCCCTGGAGTAGGTGTTTCTTAAAGATAGTCATAGGGATCTTCAGGCTAGGCCAAATTGTCTGGGCCCATTTCATGACATTTCAGCATTCCCAGGGCTGTAGACAACTCCTTACCTGCAAGATTACAGATTAGAGAATTAAATCTAACGATAATTGACTAAAACTCGCCAGATCACTGTGAGGTTCTCGTTCACTTAAATATGTCCAAGATTCCAGTCTCTGCAGGGTATCCCCATAAATAAATTGTGTATATGATCTTTTGAATGCTTAAAGAAGATGATTGCTGAGTGGACTTCAGGAAAGTACTTTAGATATTCATGTAACAATCCATTAATATTTTAATTATTATTAAATAACAGAAAAACACTATGTTTTACTTAAAGTGATAAAAATTTGCTTATAAATTAAGTTCGAGGGAAATCAGCATCACTGCTTTATGTAAGTTTATCTGGAAGGTAAATTTTATTAAGTGAATAATGCTAACATTATTGTGGCTTTTTTCCCCCACAGTGTGACAAGCGGGAACCAGATGGCATCCGAGTGGCTCCAGTACCTCTCTACAATTCTTTCCATGATGTTTATAAATTTATCAGTCTGCTCTCTTCTGTACTTGATTCTGCAGAAACAAAAAAATAGCTGTGTTTTCTAGAATAGCTTAAGTAAATAATACTGAAAGTCGATGTGGTTATTTTATTATTATTATTCAAGTTTTAATTATTGAAAGTATTTCAAAACTGATTTCACACAACTGGCAATGAATTGTATATTTTACAGAAAAACATAATTTTTTTGAGTCTGTGGTACTGAGGAATCCACATAGCTGTCCAATTTCTTGCTGTTTGATGGATCAAAGTCTTCATTAGTCCAAATATTATGTACATAGTCTTGGTAGTGAAATTTCTTGGTCATGTCACATTTCATGGTCAGTGAAATGCTTTTGTTGGTTTAATTTATAATTTGACTGATAACTTCATAATATATGTGGAAATTTTTTTTTGTGTGAGGAAGATCGGCCCTGAGCTAACATATGCCAATCCTCCTCTTTTTTTTTTGCTGAGGAATAGCCCTGGGCTAACATCTGTGCCCATCTTCCTCTACTTTATATGGGACGCTGCCACAGCATGGCTTGCCACGCAGTGCGTCAGTGCGTGCCCGGGATCCGAACCGGTGAAGCCCATGCCGCCGGAGTGGAGCACGCACACCTAACTGCTTGTGCCACCGGGCCGGCACCTATATGTGGAAATTTTGTGTTAATTTGAGAAATATTACTTTAGTTTGAATTTACCAAAGAGTTTCTTATAAGCACTGTAGTTGCACAATCTGATATATGTATGATTTTGCAATGTTCCATCCAACTCCAATTTAAGAAACAGAAAATACATTTTCTAGGGAAGTGGCTTTCAAATATTTTTGGCCACAATCCACACCAAGAAATATATTTATTTTTAATATCAGAGACCAGTATTTATTTCATTGATTCTAATACACAAGTTTTTTATCATATTTTAACATCTGTGAAAGAAGAAATATCTTTCAATTTTCAATCAACAGTTTCTTACCATAACCATTGGCCATTCTTTCACATTACCATCCCTGATATTAGCATGCTGCTCACAGTGAATTGATAACATCTTAGATCCAATTTAAAAAAAAAGGTATATATAGCAAAAACAAAAGTTTCATAAATTATTTGTTTCTGACATTTATTGTTCTATTTTATCTCATTACAACAAATGCTGATTGAAACTTGTTAAATTTATTTTTCCACTTACTCTTGGGTCCTAATCTATTTTTCAAGAATGTCCCTTTATTTATTGTTATCATAATTTCTTGTTTTTTAATGGGAATTTTCCCTGATAAAAGACTTTAGGTGTTACTCTAACTCTAAAATAGTGAAATAAATCACCCCAAGATATTTGCGATGGAAGATTAAATTAGGAAATAAGTACTTCATTTCTCAACCTCTATCCCAAATCTATGACCTTTCTTATCTGCTATGAAAACTACAGTTACACTCAGCCATGTTGGACTTCCTTAGTTTTCAGCTGTTGATGCCACAACCACTATTCATGAATTAGCAAAATATTCTACATTTGTATACATAAGCAGCAAGAAAGAGTGACTATGACATCATTATTGCCCCTGATGAAACAAATTTGAATGAAGTAAACTAAGACAACCACTTTGGATGGTTGAGTTAAATAAAAAGATGCAGAACTCCAACACCAACACCAGTAACTACTGATATTTATCAGGTACTTACCATGACCCTGTATTGTGCTACTCTATTTTTCTGTGATCTCACTTAATTGAGTGCATAATTGCTTTAGCAAAGCTTCCCACTCCAACTTTTGACAAAACTCATCTTCATAGATGGAAAAGTTCTCAAAACCTTAAAACTTGACTATACATGATTTCACATAGAAGGAATCATTTTTGAACCTCACAATGGTAAACAAAACAGACATGGTTTCAGTTCTCATGGAACATGTAGTTTAGTGGGAGAAACAGATAGTTAACATAGAAACACCCAAGTAAATATATAATTAGAAACCATAACTTCTATGAAAGAGAAGCAGATGATTCTATGAAAGAAAAATCTCAGGAGTATTAATTAGATGGCAGAATAAGGGAAGGTATATGAAGATTCTTATAAGTTTAATTTCCAAAATATTTCATGCTAATCACATTAAAATTACATCAGGGGCCGGCCCCGTGGCATAGCAATTAAGTTCGAGACCTCAGCTTCAGGGCCTGGGGTTCACAGGTTCAGATCCTGGTAGTGGACCAACGCACAACTTGTCAAGCCATGCTGTGGCAGCATCCCATATAAAGTAGAGGAAGATGGACACAAATGTTAGCCCAGGGCCAATCTTCCTCAGCAAAAAGAGGAGGATTGGCAATGGATGTAAGCTCAGGGCTACACTTCCCCACACACCCACAAAAAAATTACATCAAATTATATATACACACCATTCAAAGCATAATCAGCACTATGGCCTCATCACTCAGGTTAAGAAACAGAACATTAGAAACTCCCTTTCTCCCAGCTGGCATTCCCCTCCTCCCCAAATCTAGAGATAATCGTCAAATTGTATTTTGTGTTAATCATTCCCTTAGTTTCTTTAAAGTTTTACACCTATGTATGTACCCGTAAAAATATTTTAGCTAATTTTGCCTGTATGTGAACTTTATATAAATGTAATAATGCTTCATATATTTTTCTGCTTCTTTTGCTCAGCATCACATTTTTTGAGATTCATCCATTTGTTGCATATAGCTTTTCATTCATTTTCATTGCTGCTTAGTATTCTATTATATAATTGGAGTTATTCACTCCACTACTGAACATTTGAGTTTTTCTAAATATTTTTAATACTGCAACAATGCTGCTATTAACATTCTTAGTACACACGTTCAAAGGTTTGTCCAGGACATATAACTGTAAAAAATGCTGGGTCAGAGGGCATACACGTGTTCAAGTTTAGTATATAATGTCAAACTCTTTTCAAAAGGGATTGCACCAGTTTCCACTCCAACCAGTAGGAAATGAGAGTTCCCTCGCTCCCAATCCTTGCCAATAGTAGCTATCGATTGCCTTTGTCATATATGTGTGTTCAAATAGCCAGAGGGATTATTAAAATAACAGAGAATAAGTGTATAACCTCCACACAAGTAAAAGGAAGAAAACAGAATCACATACACACACATACACGTTGCAGTTTATGCTTCGGAAACCATCCTTAATCTGCGGGTTAAGCCAAGACCAGAATTTTACCCGCCTCTTAACGCTTGCTCAACTCTTTCCCCTTCCATAGTCTGGATAGTATTCCCTCCTTACCTGCCATAGTATTCCCTCCTTCACAGGTTTTTCCTGGTGAGCACTCCTTCAATAAAGCATATGTATCCAAATCCCTGTCTCAAGCTCTGTTTCTAAGGAACTCAATCTAAGACAGCATTTCCTTTATCTAGTCTTAATAATCATAAGTATGTTATATTCTGTATCTAATATATGATGAATTTACAGTTCTGTTTCTGTTGGTTTTCAAATATAATGCCTTGTTTCCTTGTGTATATTGTAATTGTTAACTTAAACTGCTCATTTATCTTGACTCTTTTGGATTTCTTTGAGAACTGCGTTAAAGTGTGTTTTTCCAAAGATATTCATGTTTGCTTTTGCCAGTTGGCCAGGGGCACTTCTGACACAAGAACATTTAAAATTTTGATGAATATTTTGTATTTCAGATGAATTCATGTTTTCATATACATAGCATGAAACTGATAGGTTAATCTATGTGGGGGCCAATTTATAGTTACAAATTGTCAGAAGATATTAATCTTTCTTCTTGACTCTTTATGTATTCTTTGGTTGTCAGCATTATTCAGGGCTCTCCTATCAGCTTATTTACCTTGGCCAGTCCTAGGCTTGATCTATGCCTCATTCAGTTATCAACACTGAAGCTCAATGACTCTAGGATTTGGCAGAAACTCTGAGGATGAAAGCCGTGCTTTGATCCTAAGCTTACTTTGATCCTTGCTTCCTTCCCAGGTTTCTACTTTTATTTCATTTTGGGGTTCTGAGAATTTCTTGCTTTTGTGTCATCTCATTTTAAAAGGCTTTTTGTTGTTGTTTTTCGTTGTTTTCTGGTATCTAATCCCCCACAACATGCTAAACTGTCAGAAATGTTTTATGTACTTCCAGTTTTCTTAAGTAGAGTATGTGAAAAATGATTATGCTTTCTCAATAACTCATGTACATTTATATAAATAACAGTTCTTTTATAGTGATGCCCTTGGGAGCTATTGTAATACACAGGGCTGTTTGTATAACACTAAATTATACTTCTTATACAAAATTGACTGGAGAAAAGGCTAGGTGTGAGGTCAATAACTTAATTTCAAATTAAAGAAATAAACTTTTTCTACAGCTATTTTCTCCTCAATAACTTTCTACTTACTCTTGAGTTCAAAACTATATGAGTTTACATTCAAATTGGGTTATGTCTTTGTTCCATAAACTGAAGTTGCTAGAGCATTGATTTTTAAGTAAATGGATTTTTGCATAATCTTAAGAAAGAAACCTGCTAACACCCTGGAAGCATTGCATCATAAAGCACACATGGAAAGCACTGGATTAGGGCACCCTGTTACTGAGATGATGAATTTGATGCTTGTGTGGGCCATTAGCATCTGTATTATGTGTCTGAGAGAGATACCTGATATGTTCTCTGCCCTCTAGTGATATTATTTTTAATCTCAGCAAGATGTAGTCTCAAAGAACAAAATAATAAAGCAGAACATTATGAACTAATGGATTTAAACATTTCTGATGTGTTTTCATTTTATTGCAATTATTTTTTTTATTAATGCTCTAGTTTTCCAATTTTTGACTCTTTAAGGTGGCTCCTGAGTCCTTTTGACGTTACCTCAACTGTTTTTTGATAGCTTCACTGCCTTAGTTATGACAAGATGTAAGCTTACCTGGTACTATACCTCCAACTTGACATCAATGATTTCTCTAAGAATATTCAGTTCCTTTTGGAGGAAAATGGTGTTTAGAAACCATAATCTTAACAGTAAGGGTGCTCATTGTAATTGAGTTGATCATTGTTTTCAGGATTTTCAGTTAACAGAGTTAGGAAATACATATTTATTAAGAGAAATTATATCTTTATTTCAT